AGGTAATATAGAAAAACAACTGGAGATCATGAGTAATACCGAGTTCTACCGCTTTTTTGCAGCTCATAAACACCAACCATACGTTAGAATCGAGGCGCCGATACGAAAAGAGTGCACGAACACGCGACAGCGTCGGAGAACTGGGGTTCAGTGTGAATGCGCGCAGAAAATTTTAGCGGGTGTGCGTGTGTGTGTGCATGCGTGTAGGTGTGCTATTCAGCCACTAAAGCGGCCTGATAAATTTCACACTGGCCTGGAAGCCTAATCATTGGTGACTGCGGTCAGAACGATTACGTAGGGTTACAAAGGCAGGACAAAAAACAGAGAAAAAACCGATACAATGATATTGAATGCGCGGCGCCTAGGAAAACCATGATGCATTTAAGCTAAGTCTAATTAACAGTACACAGGAACTGACCATAATTTGGAAGAGTTCCGAAGCACTAGTGTAAAGTCTGGGTCGGTTAAACCTGCGGTCATACTGGAATCGACTTACTGGTTGCAGTAGGTTAAAATAACAATAGATGGACTGAGACACTGCCACACAACTTTAAATTATTAAGGAACATTCAGATGAGGGGACTAACGAGACGAATTCTACAGGGACAAATCTTGAAATGAGCATAATGACGTACGTCTTGGTATGGGCAACAACCTTTGGTGCCATCAAACATGACACAGCAGGTGTCTGTTTCCAAGCAACCAGATTCTTCCAAAGGGCAATTGTTTGTCTCATCTGCGGGCGCTTCTGGTTTTGGTGGCGGAGAGAGAAGACAGGACTTGGACGTAACGTCGCATATGTAGCCGGACGGACAGCAGTGATCATCATCCTCGCAACACACACCCTGAAAAATAAGAAAGGTGTGAAATTACAATGCTAGCTTGATAAAAAAAAACAGGGCAATATTTAAAAAAACGTACATTTTCAAAGGGACAACAGGACACTCCACCATTCCTGACATCGCAAGGCGTGGAAGAAGGTGAACACGAGAGATGTGTCAGGTTCTTCACCATATTCGTGATCGGTGCAGTTGCCGAGAGCTCAGTTGAAACCTGTGGAGCAAAATAAAGACGAGATTAATAATAATAATAATACTAATAAGCAGTGGTGAATTAGAAAAATGAGTACACTCACCTGGGTAGACGGAAATAGATTGGTGATGAAGTTAAGAAGAGGAAAAATTCCGGATCCCATTGAGGTGCATGAGCCACTCAGATTGCACACAGTTCCTTTTGGACAGCAAGTCTCGCCAGAGCTACAACAGACGCCCTATAATGCAGTAAAAAGTGAACGACAAGTTGCCTACATCGGAAACAGGACAACAAAGAGTGCTCCCGTTTGCACCAGCACAGCAAACCCCAGATGCACACAAATTCGAGCACTGATCTGCAGCAACATTAGCTTGAACAGCTAAAACGGCACACAGCAATACCAACACTGATTTCATCTGTATACCAGACTGAGAAGGAAGCAAATGAGCAATTGGGTCAAGGAGCGAAACAGAACTTAAACGCAAAAGCCGCGAATTTAATTACGATTCAGAAATCGTTAGTTTGCTGAGAAATTTTAACACCACTGCACGCAAATGTTTTTTTGGAAAATTTAATTATCTACCAAAAAAGACTTTGCCTTAAAAAGTATTTTCTTGGTTTTATATTCTTGTAAATCACACATAGGCGACGTAATACGTAAAAAAAGTTTTCTGTAAAATGCACATTACATTTAAAAAAAGATTTTTGTTTAAAAATAACTACATAAGAGGTTTAAGCCTGCTTTTTGGGATATATTGGAATATAGCTCATGCTGTTTATACAGCTGATGCTTACAAATCGTGTAGGCAAAGGCCATCAATATACCTCATGGTTACTCACAGTACCTGCAATGTATATCCGACAGTAGCTAAAAACTGACAAATATGCATATCTACGCTAAGATAATCTGATCATCATTGAGCATCATATTGTGTAGCTGCGCATTTTTTGGAAAATTTACGATCTACTCGCTTATATATAAGAAATCCTAAAGGTATGCTTAATATCATTCTTTTCAAGACTCTATCCATTTTATTAATTGCCCGTATAATTAGTTGAGTAATTTCATGCACAACCAATGTAATAAAGTGGATCGAACTTTTATCCTGAATGCGTATTTACTGAGTTCGATATTTACATCACTGGCATGCGTCTTTTTAAATCATTCCTTTTCAAATTTCATGCTGGAGTTCTGCTTTAATAAAAAATGAAAGATTTTGAAATTGAAAAGTTTTAGGTTGCACTCCTTTACTCTTTTAAAAATACTTCTATTTATTCACCGCTGTTCGAAAATATTTGAGAGAATATTCGGAATTCGTCATCCTTTTAGGACTGCCTAATTAGATGGCATGATGATATCAAAACACAGATGCGACATCAGCTTACATGCGCATGCGTTTGTTAATTATTAAATGTTCAATTAGGAACTTTAAAATTGTACATTACTAGTTTGAACATCTACAGCGGTATCAATTTCAGTTCTCTTTTCTCGAACCACTGTGATGTAGAAATTTTGCATTTTTTACTCTTTAATATATTGAAAATGTACCAAGTGCTGTCTATTGTGACGCCACTTGCTACTAACCACCCAAATGAATGAAGTCTAAGGTAGAACAGAGAGTCAGCCGTTTATTCGAGGATTTGACGAAGTCGTAGTCGAGTGTGTGTGGTTGACGTTTGCGTGCATATATACAGCTTTGATGTGTGAGTCTTAGATGAGCTGACATCGAGACCTAGGTGTAAGGATAATCCACGATATATGATCGTGCCAATTTTAAGATAAAATTGTACTAAATGCTCGTTGTGGGCACCAGCCTGTGGCCTTAAACCCTGTCAGGGCCACTGAATTATAGGACGAGGACACAACGGTCTACTTCTAAGTTCGAACATATTGAAGTCGTTGTGTGGCATTTACGCCTCCAATCTAACGTACGTTTGGGTTTTTATTGGCTGAAAAAAGGTGGTAGAACTCGGTATTACTCATGATCTCTAGTTGTTTTTTTTATATTACCCGGTAGAGTTAATTGTAGGCTGCTAGCACCTACGCAATGCGCCTCGCAAACCGATCAAATTACCACATGTTCCTCCAATCAAACAAACCGACAACAACTTTTTTTGTTTGATCTGTCTCTTAGCAGGCATCAAGTAGACCCGTTTGCCGCCTGCCTCATGGCATTGCTGATCGCAAACTTGCTTTCGTGATTATGGGGCAGTCGTTTATGTGATCTTGTTGTGGGCCCCAGCTTGTGGTCTTGAACCACGCCGGGGCCACTGAATTAACCCTGGCTCGATAACGCTTTCCTGAAACCCACGACGAGGAAAAAGACCAGAGATGACGTGGACACAACCGTCTATTTCAGAGCTCAACCATGTTGGTGTCGTTGTGTCATGCGTGGCATTTGCGTGCGTGAGTCGAACATGCGCTAACATCGAGACCTAGGTGTGAGGATAACCAGGATAATTGTTCGTGTGAATGAGGGGGAAGTTGAGGATCCGCGGGGCTGGCGATATGCTGCGAAAAGGGGGACCCAGTGTCGGAGGATAAATTGATCGGATTAAGGAATGTGAATCAATCCTTCTTCTATCCTTCTTGATCCCAATCTCAATGTTTAGGATGTATGCAATGTCTTTTCATATTCGTCACTGTTAGATGATCATTCAACAATTTATTAGTTAAAAAACTACTGAATGCAAAGTTGTGCAAATTTTTCCTATTTGCGGAGCAAAATGAGCAAGTTTTAGACAACAAATCTGATTGCATGCTTATGAATTTCACCTCTGACTGATTCAAATAAGGTGTTAGAAGCGCCTTACTGTATTTAAATTAAAACCAAATCAAATTTTCTACGCATTTTCATGACAGTTCCTTATATTGCAGTAAGTTGTAGTTGTTTTCCTTCAATTGCATAATTTTGGCGTCTTTTTGTATGTCTAGTTTTCCCATTTAGAGCCTTGAGACGCATAAAGAGGACCACAGTGGGAATATAAGCGGACTTCTTTTTTGAAAATCAATAATGTTTGTTAAGCGGCAGGCTAGCAAGTTTCTGATATCCTTGAAGCTAAATCGCCTCCTGCCGTGGGTTCCTGATTGAAAGACCTCCTCGGTTCGATGTTCAACGAGGCCTCGTAGGTCTGGTCGTCGGTGAGAAGGCGTGTTGGGTCCAGAAGGTAGTCAACAACCTAAAAACAGTGGCTGCACATTAGACAACTAAGTTTGTATTCACCGCCTTCATTTGATTGGCTGACTGGTCAAGGTCGCCAAAATCATTGGCCGATACAACCAACTTACTTCTTGTCGGATCTCAATCATGTACGGTGACTGCGTGTACCTCCGGATCTTCATCAAGACGTGGGCCAACTTAAAAAGAGGGTAATATGGAAAACCGGCTGACCTACCATTCGCATTTTGCAAAAGTTAATCAATCCGTGCTCGGTAACGTCCAATGAGCCCTCGCCAATGAACGACAAGTCAGTTAGGTACATGCCGAGGTAGGGTATGCACGGTGGGTCACACCTATGCAGAGCTTCACGCATATTCTTGAAGCGTGCGGTGGCGGCAACGAGTGTAAGCAACTTCTCTAGCGACTGGCGCGACTGCTTGCTCACAGCCTCCCACGTGCCTCTGAGTCTATGCACAGAACTGTTCTCCAGGCCTGCGCAGATCTGTAGGACTCCGTTGTAGTTTTGGAGGCATCTGCAGATGTCCGCGATGGCAATCCACTTCTCAATGCACGCGGCCCTCTCGGGAACCTCGCTTCGGGAGATTACTTCTGAGACAACCAGTTTGCTGACCTACGCGACAATCAGGCATCAATGGAGCCTACCTCATTGAAGCGCTTCGTCGCCAGCATGACATTGGGCGCATTTGTCTCCTTCCCGTCCTTCATCCACACCTGATTAAGCAACTCTCTGAACAAAAACGTTTACTACTTATTTCACAATAAGTAGGCGAGCCAACATGCCACCGAATTCAGCACTCACTCGGTCCTGATTGAGCGGAAGATGTGGTAGTCGATGTAGGTCAGTTCCTCGGCAATGTCAAGAGCTGGAATGGTGTCGAAGTTCTCCTTCGAAGGAGTCTACAAGTCAAAATGGAACTGTCGCTTGATCCGCGTGACCTTGCGGATGACGCATTCGATTGAACACTCGTTTAAGCGATTTCCAACTTATAAACACTTACGCATGTAATTATATATTAAACACGGAACCCGGAGCATAGTTACGGACCATCTAGGGCCAAATTACAGCAAGTTGATTGGGTTAAAACGAGGTTTACCTGAGTTGGAGTCATTAGGAGGGCGAGGTCGACGCGTGACTCCACGAGCTGGTCGTTAAGAATCTCTCTCGAAAGCTGGAAAGCCACCTTTCGGTTGGAGACGTTCAATCGTGGGTTTCTAAGCAACTCCTCTAGCAGTATTTGCATCTTCGATTTGAGCGTGGGGTCTCCATCAAAGTCCTAAATACACAAAGAATCAATTTAAAGTCTCGACGTTCCAAACTTTAAAATGATTAAATCTGCATAGTAAGTGGCTTAAAAAGCAGAGTTGAATTTCAAATGCGATTCATTTATCACGGGATAGTAACCATGGCAACAGCAAAACAAATATATAATCTGGGGAAATGAGGAATTGTCAGCATAGAAGGTCAGCATCACATAAGCTAATATATTGGTGTGTTAGTCTGTTTAAACAAACAGCAATGTACCAATACATATGGCGACATAAAAAACGGAGATCGTTATGAGAAATCCTTGAGTCCTGGCAACACAGACTAACCAAACAATTAGCCAGTCACAGCGAACTGCGAATGTGACCTTGATGTTGCCCAATCCAAAGCGACTTATCCAGTGCTCTGATAAAATGAGGCATTTACCTCGGGATATTTGGTAATCCAGTGTCTGGCAACATTCAGCACCCTGACTACAGTCAGCCCAGCCAATAGGGTCTCTCTTCCGCCGTCCGAAGTAATCGATGAAGCAGACGGTAACCTCGAACACTGGGGCTCGCACTCGGGCACTGCCCTGGTGGTTGCTATGGCACCAGAGGCGACAGCTGTAGCGGTGTGTTTGAGAGGTGAGGACGGCGCGGTGGAATAAGAGGGCTTGGGAGTTCCCAGAGGGACGCCTGATGCGGCTCCGGGAGATGGCAGTTTGGAGGGGAACGGGGGCCGCAGGCGACTTGAGTTGCTGGCTGCCGTGGCAATCGCGAAGGCCTTCACTGCCGCCCAGTTGCTTGACCTTGAAGGAAATGTAAACGTTTACTGGCTCCCGTTTTTTATTGGTTGTTCAAAAAATGGAGTTAGTTGACGCCTTTTTCGTAAATAATATGCTGCAATCGTTACATGCAAAAAAATTTACTGCTCTTTTTGGATTGTTTTTAAGAAAGACAAGGTGTTTTGTAATATTTAGGTGGGTCCTGAAGAGGTAAGGTTTGGCTGAACCGTTGTGAACTTGAAAAAAAACGCGAAAACCAATACACCACTACATTCTCTTTCACGACACCGCCACCATCATAATACCACCACCTTTTCCATCGCTGCTGCCTCCTCCACAACCACTGCCACCAAACTATCACATACTACCACCACTACAACCACCACCACACACCACCACAGCCACCAGATTGCCAAATTACGCCGCCACTACACATAATCACCACCGATCCGATTATAAATGCCGCCTCCACGGACAATGAAATCACACTACCACATGCCTCTAAAACACTATCGCCTGTTCCATCATTACTGCCTCGTCCACAACCACCTCCACCACACACCACGACAACACCGCCGACACACAACCACCACCACCATCACCACCACCACCACACCACTCCAGAACACCAGCACATGTTACATCATTACTGCCTCGTCCACAACCACCTCCACTACCACCACCACCACCACCACCACCACAAAACTACCATCCGTGCCATCATTACTGCCTCGTCCACAACGACCTCCACCACACACCACCACAACGCTGCCAGCACACAACCACCACCACCACCACCACCTGTTCCATCATAACTGCCTCGTCCACAACCACCTCCACCACACACCACCACAGCTACCGCCACCACCAGCAACACTGTACCTTCTTCTGGAGAGGCGGGCTGAAGTTATAATCGCACCAGCTCTGGGAGCCCTTCGGAATGAAGATCCGTCGTAGGTGTAGCTGACGTGGCTCCTCTGCCTTGTTAAGCCGCTTTTGCACCCTTTAATGGTCAATAAAGCATGATAATGTCGTCAAGTAGGATAATTTCATCAGAGCATCAACATGTTTAATTTGATATCACACGCACACACACAGCAAACTCACTTTCCACTGATAGTTTAAAGTCATCAGGGTCATTTTCAAGGACGCTTGGAACCGACGTCGCAAGGGAGCGACGTTCGACAATGGATGGGGTATAAGTTGGCGTGAGAATATTGCCAGTCGTGCACGTAGATGTTGCGTCCGACGTCTGCCCGTCATCGCCATTGTCCTAGTTGAAAAAAAACTACTTATGAACATAAAGTAGTTAGTTTCATTCTTTCCAAGTCAAAGTGCTGACCACGAAAGTGACAAGCCTAAATGCAGGCACCAACTACTGAAAATCGATTTAAGTAGCCTACCTTATTCACAAAAATTGCGGGCGGTGGCGTCACCTCTATCGACTTCTGGTAGTAGAGATCACTTCCAGCGGAATGTATCCCAGTACCATCTGCTGAATCTGTATTTCCAGCTCCTAAAAATCGAAAATAACACGCCACATTTTGTCGTTACTCGGTAACCAATCATTATCTTCTGTTTATTAGCCAATCAGAAGTCAACTGCACATACTTACCCATCTCGCGCAACGGACTTAAGTGAAGAGGGGCTGGCTTGGATTTGGCCACGCGAATTGAGTCCACCGGTGGATTCTCGTTGTCCCTCTCCTCCTCCCCTATCGGTATTAGTGCGGCTCGGCTGAAGTGCAGCTAAACGAAGACAACGCATCCGCATCGTCACCCCATTGGTTTTGATAGGAGTATAATCAAAATAGGACATTTTGATTGGTGGAAGAGTGAAGTGGATCCAATCTGGGCTAGGCATTCTCTACTCGTGCAATTTTTCGATTAGTCGTCTACACTAAAGTCAATACCTCATCTTTCTCTTCCTGAATCGTCGGCGTAGATGTAGATGGACTGTTGAAGAAGATCGTCTCAGTGGTGCTCTTGGAAACATTTCCACCTTCAGAAAAACGAAACACCGTAGCCTTATTGCCCACCGAAGCACTTCTTCCGCGAGAAGTTTCTGGAACCTCGGCGTCGACCTCTCCAGCTGTAAAGAAACATGCGTGACATTGAATTCACCCCCGATAAGGTGGTTAACCATTTAAAACACACAAGCTCACTTTCTCGTTCCTCCTCCTCAGGTAAATTCTCCTCAAGGTTGCGAGGCATGAAGAAGATTTGGTGTTTGGAGCCATCGAGCATTCCCGTCGAGACCCTCCGTGGCCCCTTGAAGCTAGAATGCATTGAGAGGTCGGCGTGTAACTTACTTGCTCGCCGCCACCCCGGCCTATCAAAAGCGAAATACTTGCTACTGACAATTTTTAAGTAATCAAGAACTTTAGAAACTCTCATTTTTAGGAAAGCTATTATAGAGACCTAAGTAGGTAAAAAGAGTGAGCAAGACCAAGAATTTTTTTATAACCTGGCTTGAAGCGTGGATTCTAACAGGTCAGGATCAATTTTGGTCGACGAAAGTTGGATCAAGGGGTCGCGAAGAACGCATCGAAGTACAGCGATCAGAGTGAACCCAGTGGTGAAGACGCGGTAGGTAAGTAAAAAGGTATTCAAGTAATCGATCGACTGGAACCTAGGGTCCAGGAGGTGGCTCAACAAACGACCCAGTGTTCCGTAACGGACCTTAACAAAAGCACAAAAAACAATCAGTCATTTTTTCTTCATTTATGACATTTAGTGAACCTATTTTCAGGACAAAAACCATGATACATGTACTATAGTTTCAATTTTTCAGCACACATGAACCTGTCTAGAATGTCGAAGCTGATTGGTCAGAAGTGAACCAATCAGCAGCTTGTTCTTCTTTGTGCAAAGTAAATCATAAGTTTGCCAATGTGCGTCTTACCTGCGGCATTTTGCACGAGTTTTTGGTGGAGCGATATTTTATGTCTGGACAGTCCTTGAATAGTCCCGGATCTAGGCTGTCGGGAAAAAAATGTGGTTGTCATGGCAACGACATAGCAAAAGCAAGCTGGAACTTCAACTTACCGGATAGAATATGGCATTGAAATGGATGACACCTCGGAATGGGCGATGCTTAATGTTTCGCTGTAGTGAAGCTGTTCGATGCACTGTAATAGGCAATAATCGATATTGAAAAGCCGACCCAGAGTTCTCGTTAAGTTAGTCACTCTACTGAATACTTTTCAGTAGTTAGGTTTAGTTAGTTGCTTTTTTGTCTACTGATTGGGTAAGCACAAAGTCGACCTTGAAGCTCAAGCGGGTGCAGACATCAAACTTGCCAAATGGTGGTTGACTCACCTGACTGATGTCGGAGCACCAGGCTTCTTTCTCCTGCAGATTCGACGCAACCAACCAAATCGAACACCGACCATTCTCGTCTCCAGGCCAAGTGATTTGGAAAACGAGATTTTTATAGGTTGAAAACGGTCCGTTACCGAGACTTGAAGTCGTCGTTCTCGAGAGGCTGTGATGCTCCGGCGAACCAAGATCATCGCCTGACTCATCAGCTATGTTCTTGCGGGCGAAGCTCCCGGTGCATTGCTCTAGCTTCGATTTCCCTAGACAACATGCAACGCTACTTAATTTCAGTAAGTAGCATTTTTGTTTCATACTAGGATGAGGCTATTTACAGTGCCTTGGGCAGTCCAATATCCGACCACCACCGCATGTTTTTTTTTACTACTTTTCTTATTTTCAGTAGTTTTTAAGGTAAAATGAGAAAAAGTTGCTAAAACACTCTCACTACCGCCAGTATCCGTTCCTGTCGGACCTAAAGCGAGAGCCGCTAGCATCAGCGAACCGTGAGCCAATTTAGCAGGCATTAAACTTGTGGAAGGACTTGTGGGCGACGATGTCTGCTGCACCTCGACCGTATCTGCTTGAGGTGCCTTAGCAGTGGACGCCGTGTCCTCCTGGACACTGTGGGTCAAGGAAGTTGGGCTCAACTCCTCCGGGGTACCTGGGGGCAGAGTGACGTGACCTTGAAAAAAGTTGAAGAAACTCGGCGTTATACACTCTTCCCGGCTCAATTTACTTTAAAATACAGTCTACTTGCGACTCGAGGCGTGCTTGAATCTGATTGGATACTGTGTCCACCAATCACTTACTTCCTTCGTCTTGACCAACATCCGAAGAGAGATCTTCAATCAGGTTACAGCCCTGGAGTGGAATCTTCCCATACTTCTAGCAGTAAATAAAAAATTCTGATTGGCCCAAAGTTTCACAAAAAACAAATTTTAAATCAGGTGAATCTCACACCTTCGCCAGTTTTAACCTTCCGGAATTTGTCCTTGTCGCAATAAGGAGGTGATTGGTAAAGAGAAAAACCTGACGCAGTGTCTCCTTTTTCTCGCATGACGTCGAGCCAAGCTGGGAAATTCGTGGACACGAGTAGCTGGCTTTGCCGACTTTCACCTGGACAAGTGTGCCTAAAGTGCAATCGTAGCGTTTTTTAATTTTGTAAAAACATTACTACTGAAGACATTTCAGTGGTGCTACCTTGTCTCACGAAAACTTGATTCGCATCAAGCAGAATGTCGCAGCCGTCGGAAATCATTCGCTCGATGGAGAGGTTTTTGCGAATGTTCTCCGTTTCGCTCACCTCGTCGTGAATCACCTTTGGAATTGAGGAGAAGAAGAACAATCAGCTTTTTTTGCTTGTCGAAATAAATTTATGAAAAAAATCGATATGAGCTCCCACCTGAGAGAGCGTTTCTAGTTTGCTTTTCGCAAACTCCAAATTCCTTCTGTCAACGTGTTCCCGTGGCGTGTGGGCAAGGATTTCATGTAGGGTCACAAGATAGCGCGGGATCTACAAGGCAGCAGATTCTTCACAAAATTCAATCAGGTGAGGCAGCGGGTTGGCTAATTTGAACCAGCCAATCAGCGATATCGTCAGATTCGCATGACACTGAACGTGTCTGTCGAATATTCAGGCACCCCACTCCTCTCTCTATAGCAACATGCCCATCACCACGTATGATTGGGCACCACCACCCTGTCCATAACTCACTGTCTCATCGTACACCGATAGACACTGAAATTCTATTGGTTGACAGCATCCACAAATCACTTCCGACCTACAAAACTCCACGACTTTGAGTGTAACTCCCACCAATCGTGAATCCTTGCTTAAATACCGTCTATTTCATTGATTGGCGCTCAAAACTAACTCACCAGTACCGAATGCTAACCAATCAGCTGGGGCGGAAGATCAAAAACACACGTTTTCATTAAATATACATGATGCGCTCTCAGTTCGATGAACTGAACTTACACGCTAACAAATTAGACGCGACAAAACTGAATAATTAAAACAAAATCTCTCACAGTCTGTGAATCGAATCTCGATGATTACAGATGCAGCGCCAAGGCGCTACTTTTAAAAGTAATTTTACTGATGGTCTGTTAATTCAAATCAAGCAAATGTGCATTTATTCCGAATCGAGATTGATACGCTAATCTGTTCTTTGTAACAACCTTACAACATTTGTAATTTCACATGTTGAGTATGAGCGTTCCATGTGATGATCAATGCCGAGGTGATTTTCAAGGTCACGGAGCACGCTTTTGGACCAATCCTACCTGTTGAAGTCGACTTCAATCACAAAGTGAATACAAAGTATTAATTTAACTTCGTTTAAAAAGGGTGTCCCCTGAGCACTTTGCCATAGCCTTAAAGCATGAATGGTCTGATCGATCTTAGCGCCAAAACTGACCAATGACATCATCATTAGGGGGAAGCAAATGTTTTTTTTAATCTTGGTTGCTCTTTATCAACATGACAAATCATTCTTAGTCGAGTTATGGTCAAAAGGCGGGCACAGACAGGGTTATCACCCCGCCATATGTTAAACTATCATTTTAAAGTGCAACCGGAAGTTTCCTATATGATTATACGTAAATTGCCCACTTCCATTTTCACCTTTTTAAAATACATCCTACACCATGCACGCAATTGATATGGTATGAATACTGGACTGCTAGGGGTGTCAGAAGCCCACGGGAATACTTATTTAACTCAAATAATCGATCTCAGGCATCTGTGGCTTCACTCAAGCTCAACTCATCCTCAGACCTGTTGGCAGAGTCAGTAAAAGCTCCCGGTTCGAGCCCCTGTCTCCCGTGCTGTTCTGGAATTTTTAGCTTTTGCTGCCAGGGCACGGGAAAACGCATACTTTCGACTCACCTGGTACATTGGGCAAGTGAGGAAGGACTCAATGGAACGGCCCTCGCACTGCGACTTCTCTTCGCACCTCTTGAGGGTCCGGTTGAACTCCTCTTTCATCTTGTACTCAGCCAGCACCTGGAGGGAGTAGTGGTGGTTCCTGACGTATTCCTGATACACCCCCAACATCGGCAGCAGCATGTCGAAGAGGTCCCCTAAGAAAAGAAAAACAATGCCGTGTGGTGTATCGGTGTTGCCAAGGCATCGGGAACTTCGCGAAAAATTCCGGCTCTAGGTACCAAGACGACTTTTCGTAAATTCAAATCTCACCGATGCCTTGTTTGACGGAATATCTGCCAAGTCAACTTTTGTTTAAACGACTGAGTTGGTGTGGGAGCCACGATGATCGAAAGAGTGATTAACGGACGTCGCGAACATAAATTGATATAATTGGATGAAGACGCTGTAGGATAGTGACAAGCCAGATCTTTTTGACTGTATGCACGACAACATAACATTTATCGTGGGCATTCTGCCAGGATATTTTCGCCCGCGTGATGTGGACAAATTTGGTTGCTGCGCGTCAACCACCTGCCAGACAACAGTAGTCTGCGTCTAATTATATAGTCCTTTTTTATCCGCGCAATCTGTCTGCGCTTTAATTTTGGTACAAAACGGGTTCATGAAAACCACTTGTATTCGAAGAAACCGCGGCAAATTTTCACCCAGCAAAACGAATCATGATTGAAGTAAAATGAAACGAGATTGAGGGTTCATACGACACAAGATCAACGAAAACACTAATTTCACTGTAACTTAAAAAGTGAATATGAGAAATCAACGTGCGCCTACACAGACACCGTTCTCTAATGCGATACATTATTTTGTAACTGCTTTTACCGAACATAAAGCATGCCCTACTACTTAAATCGACAGATAGTAGTCATCAGCGAAAGGGCCAACAAATTTCATTTTGCTTAGGGCGAAATCGAGCAAACTTTCGACATATCAATGTCGACAAGGCTTTGCCCCGTAAAACATCAGTGATAAGCTGTTTTGGCTGTTGATGTATCAGTTTGTTTTAATGAACCAGCATTAAATAGCGGATTTTTTAAAATCCATAGCGAATGTGTGTTCCGCAATTAACTTCAGATAGCAGAGACAATTTCATCTGAATTGTCAAGAACAAATCATGCAAATAATTTTACAAATATTTCGCACATCCTGGCAGCATCAAAATAATTAAAATAGGTGTTTCATCTGTTCTGCAAACAGAGACAAAACTGTTTACATCGGGCACGAAAACTTGTAACAGACAACAGGAAGTAATTAGCACTTATCGCTAGGTAATATTTAATAGGCATTGTAAAAGGGCTTTTATTAAAAGGCTCATACCAGACTCCTACAAAGGTGTGCAAAGGGAAATGTAACCAAAAAAGCTTTTGTTTAAGTGCGTTCTATTAAAATAAAGCGGCATTTTCCAAATTGTTACACCAACGTTTGAAGAATTTGCAACACTTCAACACTGCTGAATAAAGGTGAAACAATAATTGTTTTTGTAAGCGTTTGCAACCCCAGCCGAGGAGATTACACAAGATGCTTCATTTGAATTTTAAAAATGTTAACCAATCAAATTGCTGCTGCTGTAGAACAAATCGATTTGAGCAAATATCGCCGTCAAACTGATGCCTAATCAACATGATCAATCGGTAAATCGATACGGAAGGCTGTGATGTGCAAATCAGGCAAATACAGATCGAGAAATTTTTGTGATAATGTTAAAAGTTTGCAGTTTTTTTGGTCTTACCAAGTTTAAGTGTTGGCCAGTTTTCCATTTTTCGTCTCAGGCCTTGGACAAAAATTTGGTGAAGAAACATTAGGGTTTCCCTGGGTAAAAACAGAAAAAAAAGATGCTTTATTAAGATTTCCGAGAGAGATTTGGGACGTTTAGTGAGAAAGATAAATTGCCTCTTGAATTTGGCAAGACAAGTTACTATTTTTTACTACCAGATATCATATGTTGCTGTTTTTAAAGTCGTAAATCTTATGTACACATTGGTAAAAGGACAAATTTCTGAACATTCAAAAATAAAGTTTTTGGCAATTTCGCTTTCTACATATTGTGTGAAAATTAACTGCACCAAGATTTCGCAATTAGCTTTAACCTTGAACCACACAAATCAGCGGAAAGGCGTTGTGTGATTGGTGGGTGTGCGAATATGTTGCGGTTCGATGAAAATTACTTCTATTTCCCAGTTACACCATTCCTACAGCCATTTGCTGATAGTTTTATCTGTGAATATCGATCGCGAACAGCCTCAACCAATTTCAAGGTCACTGAATTCGCATTTTATTGGGTGCTTTTACCACCGTGGGTGTGGTTTTATTAATTTTAAAAAATATTAGACTGAATGCATTATACTAAAACAAGGACCAGCCTAAATGAATGTAAAAGAAATTGTTAGTACAATTTACTGTGTCTATCATAACTAGCAAAGATTAACAAACTAATACTGACGCGAAATGACATTTTAGCAATTCTCGTCCACCAAGATCGTCTGGTTATTAGCCAACGAAAACCCGCCTAATTAAACAGAAATGTTAATTTACAAAATTTTATGTAAAGTATGGATGATAATTTTGCGAAATAGATTATTAATTTGCGTTAAGTTGCGTAAAAATTTTGTACTGACTGTGAAAACTAACAAAACCGAAACGAAGGGACAGCTAAAAGTTAAAAATCTTAAAAAAAGAATTTTTTTTTCAGGACAACTGGGCTAATTAACCTCTTAGCACTACCGCAAAAATAGTCGTCAATTTACTGACATGTGGTTGGTGTCTTGTGTAACTTAGTTAATTCCGCCAGTTTAGCAACTTCTGGAAGAAAATATTTTAATCGCCAACGTCGTCAGGACATACATAACAATAAGTGCCAACCGAAATGTTATCACTTGCCAACCAATTAGATTTAAGGGACACAAACTGAGCCAAAGAGCTCATTGGCAGCCCCCAAGCATCTGAAATAACAATTTTTTAACGTAAAAAAATGCGAAAGGCGCTGCTGACTGCAAATATGAAATTTAATTGGATTAAAAGCGCATGCGATTTTGTTTAAATGTTACAATATTGGCGCCAAAAGTTGGTAAAGTCGTTAACGCCCTAACTTATTTAAACAGCACCCATTTCTTAAAAAAACGTACAATTTAGACTTCATTAAATAGAAACATCAACCATGTTACTGACCTAGAGAAATTACCAATAGTCGGGTAGTTGTGATATGTGTGATTGGGTAGTGAGATGTTGAATTATCAAAATGAATTTCAAAGTAAAAATAGTAGACTTGTCCCGAACCTGTCTGACAGTTGATTGTACTTTTAATTAAGAACTATTTTAGATCTCAGAGTACACAATCTTTCTGCTTGACCAGATTAAAAACTGAGTGTATATAAATTGACAAACCCAAATAGATGAGATAATTAGAGCCTTGTCTGTTGTTTAAATCAACCACTGGTACCGATTGCCATAATCCGATTGGAGGAAGCGAATAGCGGTGTTTTTAAAAGGGAACTTGTTCCAATCTCGACTTCTATTCCACCACGTTTATGTAACATTACTTTTTTTTTAAAAAAGACAGCACTTCAAATTCAATCAGTTGAAAAAGTACAGATCTGATTCGATTGAAAAAAAAACAAATTTTTGATATAATCAACAAAAATATGTCGTGGTATAATTAAAAGATTACAACTTCAAAACACAATCTAATCTGCGTTTCGTAGACTTAATAATTATACTTTTGCCTTTAAAAAAATAGTTGTTTCATTACCTGATTTTGTACAATAAATGAATGACTTTTGGAATTGCTTCCTTTTGCGTCGGACAATTTACTAGCCCTATGAGTCATCGTTGTATCCCGTAGTTGACACAATTGGTTGAACGCTAATTTTAAATTGTTTTGTTAAACTGCTAAAATTAAGATAAATTTTCCATTTCACCTAGCGTTGGCCTTATTGAAAGAGATTTGCTGTCAAATTAGCGTGATGCGGAAGCAACGTTTCGTGTTAAATTTACATAAAACGGCGTATTTGTTTGTTGCTTATCGAAAACAAGCCGTCCAGAGGACTGATAACTTAGTGGAAGCGACAGGAACAAATACAGAAAGGCGATTTGTCGGGGTGGTGGCGGTGGTTTGCCTTCCACAACAAGACATCCAAGATCTCTTAGGCTCAGCAAAGATGGCATCTGCAACGCAGCACTGAGGTTCGCGCACACTTACACATTGAGACAGATGGAATTGACGTCCTCGTGGGTAATGATAGGCTTCTTGGAACTAGCTGCCATGCGAAACGGTCGCAGGAAGCAGGTGACGAGAGTTATGAGCTGCTGGACGTACTCCTCCTCGCCTTCGAACAGCTTGAAGACGATGGAGTTGCGTTTCCGCATGGACTCGGCGTGCGGCGAAAGCAAGTACTCCTCCACAATGTGCTTCCATCGTCGTCGGCAAAGCCAGCCACGCAGAAACGACTGCACCTAGAGTGAACATTCAGAGGCCAAATAGAGCCTTTTGCTGTCGGTGGCAAAAACATGTTCAATGGGCAGTCGATTTTTACGACTACCTTCAAAAAGGAAGTAGTTTTAGAGAGGCAAATGCAATGCGGAAACGGAAGAGGGTGGAAATCAACCGTCTCGATTTGTGATTGGCTGGTTAGGAAAGCAAAGAAATTTGCCTTCCTCACACGACGAGGTCTGGGCGAGGCATTTGTACAGAGAAAGCACTCTTTTATTGCTCTCACGAAATTTCTGTTGAGTAAGGGAGAACACAGCAGCACACGTCTTAACGCAAAACAATTTATTTGTTCACTTTGACCAACTTTAAAAGCGAGTGTTTTCCCAAGCATTTTAATGCAGACTTATATATATTACTGATTTTGGTAGGACTATATAAGTAGTGATCAAAAAGTAACACGACAAATTAGGTTTTTATTATGTTCCTATTTGTTGAAATTGGCGCCAAATAACTGCGATTGCGTCACCGGAAATCTCAGAGTGACAGCTGGCATTTTATTGGCCAAATTCGTGATGCAGTTGTAGTGAATCGTGTTGATTCACGTCCAATAACCCTGTCCTCGCAGCTTTCAGCACACCTCCCCCCTTGTCACGTGA